AGAGTCCAGAATAAGGCGGATGAGCTCTGTCCAGGGTCCTGACTCTGGGCCTGGGTTCCATGCCTGCAGGCTCTGACAGCCCTTCGACTCATCCCACGGGAGGGAAAAACAAAGGCTTCTAAGCTTAAGGCCAGGGGGGGTGGGGTGGGAGTGGAGGGGTGCACTCTGACTCACACACGCCAGTTTGCTGGGAAGCAAGCAAAACAAAGGAACTGTTAATCGGTGCGGACTATTCTGGTCCCAGCCTCGGACTTCAGACCCCCAGGGTCACCTCTGCAATTATCACTCTTTTCAGGTAAAAAAAACGTCAGCGGAATTCCGGCAGGGAATCAAAACATTTACCTTTTTCTGGGTAGGTAACAATTAGGAGTTGGGTAGCTTGGAATTCGGGTTGTAATTGGTAGGAAAGGAATCGCGTTTCCCTCGAGGAAGCTTTTCTTAGGCATCCTCTTCCTCCTCCACACCCTCTTCCTATCAAAACACTGATTAGAAAATCTTAAGACAAGGGTGCCCTAAAAACAAAGCCTGAGCCAGCCTAACATCTATTTCCTGTTCCCTCTCCAGGCGGCCACTAGGGGTCGTGTGCAGCGTCCTCTGCTCAGCTTCTCCAGTTGCAGCAAAATCGAACCTGGGTTCTGAAGTCTGGGAGCGAAGCCAGTTTCATCTCTGCCTCTGCCCAGCTCGCAGAGGGCAGAAAGCTTCAAAGATAGTCACTTTATAGGTTTTGGATGGCTTTGCTGCTACGACATACCCGTACTACCGGCTATATCCTCTGTGTCAGTTGTAAGCGGCTGGGTCTATACTGACTGCAATACCCTGGCCCCTGGGCATATGGGGATGACACTCAGGATCCAAAGAGAGCTCCAGGCTGCATTTTGGGGAGGACAGGATAGGTGGTAGGTACCTTCTGAACATGCCACGGGCTTTGTTTCTGGTGGGTGTTCTCTCTGTGTGGTGCACAAGGTCACTACACCACAGCCACCAGGTCTAAGCAGGCTTAGCCCGCTACAAAAACTACAATTGCTAATTATCACCACAGGCACACCTACACTACACGCCTGTGAGAAAAGATGCCTTTCAGAGCCTTCTGGTGACTGTCTCAAGTCCTTTTGACTTCATCTGGTGCGTGCTTGTGTGTGTGTGTGTGTGTGTTCCAGCTATCCCAGATCACCCCACCATTCATCCCTGGAGCCTTTGGGACTCTCAGCTGCCTTCTGATAACGGGTTATCCCTTAGCCTAGCCGGGAGAAAGCCATTTCAGGCCTTGACCCCAGCCTCCAAGGCGGACACGGTCGGTCGGTCGCGCCCTGCGGGCCCTTTGTTCAAGCTGCAGAGAGCTAGTAGCAGCTGCACCACGGGAAAGCCACAGCTCCGGGCGCCAGGAAATCGGTGTGGTGGCACCACCTTCTTTTCCCACTCTGTAGCCCAGGAGACCTTTCAGCCCTGGCATCTCCTGTGCCCAGTCCTGGTCTCTCTCTCTCACTCCACCCAGAATTCTTCAGGGGTTGAACAAATGCTATTCCTAAGACCCAGCCTAGCATTCCTGCCTGGCTGTCGCTGCAAGGGCAGCATTGGACACTTGAAATGTCACCGGTCGGGATAAATATTAACACAAAAGCAAATGGACGTGTGCAGAGCCAGTTATCAATCAACCAGGTCGCAAGGCCACTCACAGCAAACATGGCCCAGGTTGGGTTGGGCAAGACTTTCTCAGGGCCACTTCCAGGTAGGAACACCTCCCCGCTTCCAACTCCACCATCTGCACTCAGTTTAGATCTTCCTCTAGCACAGAGGAGTAAATACCCGAGCGCAAGGGGGCGAAGTTCCGGTGCTGCCGGGCAGGTCGTCTTCGTCTTCGCGCAGGGCTCTGGAGGTCTCCTCACCTCCAGCAGGCTTGGCTTGCTCAGCACACAACCTTGCCTGGGCTGAGGACCTGAGCAGCCACCACCGCCTGGGTGCACAGTGCTACATTCACTGGTGGGTGTCTCTTGCAGGCTCTTCCGTGCTGCCAGCTCCCGCGGAGGGGCCGAAGCCTTCTGGAATATTTAATTGGAGGCTAATCTCCTCCTGTCTTGATAGACGCCCACGTCAGAGGCGGGGCACCCAGCTTAGTTTCCCCACCCCACTCGGGATCAGGAGCGGCGTGCGTCTGGTCACGATGCGTTTTAATGAGCAGCAGCAAGCATTACGTTGAGGCAACATATATTGATTTTTAAAAGGTAGTTAATTTGGTGAGAATTTCCTCCAGTCTTTCACCAGCGCTTGTAATTTATACACCAGAAGCGCCTCCCAAACATACCGCCACGTGCAGAAGATTTTGACCCTCTAAACAAGCTACAGTGGAACACAGCACAGAGAGGCAAGTGGAGAACCTCTCTATCACTAAAGAGTAGAGGAACTCAGCAGGGTCTTATTAGGGGGTGGAGAAAAGGTGCTGATTTACTCTCTGGCAAAGCTGCATGGCTGGTCCTGGGAGCAGGTACTAAGTTCCTGCAGTTGCCACACCAAAGCATCAGGCGGATCAGTCCTAGAGTTCATCACTGAGGCCTGCTAGTCACCATTTCAAGGATCAGAAACCGACTTCTCTTAAGAAAGAAAGAAATCAGTGAGCAGGGCTGGGTTTTCTTTAGTGGTTCCCAAAGAGCCTGGGACTTTCCTGGGAGAATGGGATGGTCTCCCCCCCCCCCCAAGACTCTGGTCCAATCCTTCTCACTCTTTTATGTTAAAGAAACCAAAAAAAGGGAAGAGGAAGAAAGAAAGAAAGAAAGAAAGAAAGAAAGAAAGAAAGAAAGAAAGAAAGAGAAAATGAAAGAGGCAGCTCTGCTGTGTCTCAGGACATCCAGTGTCCGCTGAAGCCTCCTATTTCCCACATATTCTAGGAAAGGGCCTCATGCCTAGAGCCAAGAATAACAGAGCTAGCCATCTGGAGTTAGTGTGTAGATACCCCTATGATGACCTTCTTAGGTCCCATGAGCACCCAACTAATGCCTTTGGTGCATAGGTTCTAGAACTTGGTCTTTATTCACAGGGCTTCCCAGCACTAAGAAGCCATGCTCCCACACCAAAAAAAAAAATTCCTGGCTCAATTTTCTTATCTGGAGGCCAGAGGGCCTTGCACAGGATAGATTTAGGTTTTCAGGACTAGGCACTTATCTTGATACAGGACCTATCATATCAGTCTGTCCTTCCCGGGTGTGACAGAGACCAGGTGGAGTGTCACTGATGTCTGGAGTGTCTTCACCAAGTAGTGGGATGTGACTTTCGTGAGGGGGTAGCTTTTTATCCACACTTCTGGGCCCCACGATGGCTAACTTGCCTGGAAGGTCTGGAGCAATGGCTTCAAGAAGGTGTAGTGGAAGGTTCTGGAGGTTCAGCAGAAGGGAGAGCAGCAAGGTCAGCTGCCCACAGGGGCCCAATGGAGCCAACGCTACATAATGGAACCGAGAGGCTTAGGGGTGACAGCTTTTTCAGTCCAGGTCCCCTGTCTGAGCTGAGGCCTCACCAGATTCCTGGAGTCACTAACCCAAGCCTGTCTTGAGAGCTTTAGAGCAAAGGGTTTAGCTATGCTAGAAATTCTGGGCAGTCAGAAGCTGAAGCAGTGTAGCATCCATGACGGAAGGCCTCTAGAGCCCAGATGCCGGGAAACGCTAGGGTAGCCTCTCGGGCTAGGATCTGAGGCTAGTCTGCACCTACCTCTCCCCAGCTTCTCATTGGCAGGCACCGGGTGGGGGGAGGGGGCTCGGCCTCATGCTTTGATTTTAGTCTGTGAAACGGCTCAGTGCCCTCGGCTCAGAGAGGATTGACTGTCTTTCATTCTCTAGGGACAAATTAATGGAGAACGATCAGTTAATTAACAAACCCTCATTCCAGCGTTTACCTTTCTCTTCACCAAGACTCAGACCTGGGCGCAAGGCTCAGATGAAACTGTGTGTGTATGTGGCTTGGGGCTGGGGGGGTTGAGAGTGGGAGGATGTGGATACTGGAGTCAGTCAACGCGACAGCCTCCGCCCAGGTCTCGTGAACACAGTCCGCCCCTAGGCTGCCCTCTTCTCGAGTCTTCAAGGGTCGCCGAGTGTGCCTGGATCCCTGGTGCAGTTCCAGCTGAGCTCAGCTGTCCACTAGATCTCTTGGCTCACTACGGGAGCCAGGCCTGGTGCCTGCACTTGGCAGCTGAGACTTTCAGTGCCCCCCCCCAATCAAACAGCCTGATTGGGAGTTTAACTGGGAGACGGGCTTGCTGATTTGAAAGACATTTACACATTCCCACTCCATAGCAGCACAGAGACTTAGATGGGGGAAAAAATCACGACGACGACGAAAAAGCTAGTTGTCAGGAAGAAACCGGGAGTTTCCTGGGGACCTGGTCACTGTCCGCCTCTGTCCCTCTCCTTTCCACAGCCGGTTATACACTTAGCGCACCTGTGATAACCCTTCCAAAGCAGCCCGCCATGCACTCATCGCCTGCAGGTTTGGAATCTGTGTACACACCCTATCGAAGTGCGGTTTCCCTTACGCGCGGCGCCAATAAAACCGGCCAAGAGTGGGTCGCTGCAGCCAGCTCAGCCAAATATTGACGGCGGGAGCTTGAGCAGCGCCTGCCGCGCGCGGGGTATGTGCCTTGGGCAACGGGAGCTATTTCTAGTCATGCTTCGTCCCTTCCTAAACCCTCTTGTGTTCCTCGGAGAACCATACGCCCAGTGGTCTGCCAGGTTCCAAGAGTCTCTCTGCCTGCGGCTCAAAACCTTACAGCTCTGTCCCTGAGCACAAACGCAACCCCGAAGTCGCGGGGGCCGCCTCGTTCGGTCTTCGAAGCCTCCCTTAGCCCAAATGCGCTGAGCCTTTGGAGAAGGAGGAGGAGGTTGGCTACCTGAGCTGGCTCTTCCAGGTCTAGAGACACCTCTCTTGAAGAAAGGGGAGGCGGAGCGGGACTAAGCGCGCTCAGCCTTTCGCATTCCCTCCCACCTTCAGTCCCTTATCTCGCCCACGCGCCCACGGCTCACCTGCTAAGCGGAGCGCCGACATGCGCTGGAACTCCGGCTCCTGCAGCCACTTCCACATCCTCCGGAAGGTCTCCCGACCCGACTTGAGTTTGCTCCAGGGCTTGGGGTTTCGCAGCAGATCCGAAAGGGTCCCCTGGGAACGGCAGAGCACCCTCTGCGCGAAGATGGCCTGTGGGATGCTGTAACGTTTGAGCTCGGTGGTGATACGCTGCGCCACCTCTTTGGTATTGATCTCTTCCATCTGCCCTGAATTACTTCCATTGCTGACCTGCGCGCCGGTCACCGAAGGGTTGGGCTCCCGGGCTGTGCCCAGGAGCTGTCCGTGGCCCTGGGCATTCAGGTGGGCATGGGGATGGTGCGGAGGAAGGCCGTTGATGGGTACCATGCCGGCCGAGGTGGGCGTGAGGTGCTGCTCCCCGTGGCGACCAAGCATGGCAGGGTGGTGGGCTTCAAAGCCATTTGGGGTGAGCATCTTGTCGGTGGGCATAGCCGCGCCGGGATGAGCATAGTGGGGAAGTCCTTGCTGAGAGTTGTGAATACTGCCCAGACCCGAGCCAGAGAGGGGCGAGAGGCTCTGGCCCATGCCAGCCACGTCCTTGTGGTAGGGGGTATAGAGGTTATTCATAGAGGCCAGCCCGCGCTCATCCCGCATGAGTGTGAAACTACCGCTCACGTTGCCCGCCAGGCGCTGGTGGTGGTGTGGGTGGTGGTGGTGATGGTGGTGGTGGTGGTGGTGAGGGAACTTGTCGGACACGGTGGAGATGGGCGGCAGCGGCTGCAGAGGGGTTAAGGTAGTGTAGGTGGTGGGCATGCTCATACCTGGGGGAGTTTCACAGGCCATGGTCATGGTGGGGTGCAGGGGACCAGCCAAGCTGTGCTCAGGGGCGCGGTGGTGGTGGTGGTAATCGCTGCCTCCGCTGCCGCCGTCCAGCAGGGACGCCATGCCCATGGAACGCGGGTGCGCGGGAGGCAGGTGGCTGCCGCGGTGCCCCACGGAGCTGCGCGCGTGAGGGCTGCCGCCCAGCAGGTCAGCAGGGGCGGGCACCGGCTCATGGCTCACCCCGTGCAGCTCGCCGATCGCCTCCATGGTCAGCTGTGAGTTCATCGTGATGCGGGCGAGCGGGCTGCAACATCGATGTGGCCGGGCAGAGGCGGCGAGGGGCGCACGGAGTCCAGTCTTCACATCGGCTGCCTGCGACTGTGGCCTTTCTTCCTCTCACTGTGGGGATCTGTGTCTCTCGCTCTTTCTGTGTGTGTCTTGCCTTCTCTCTGGCTCCCACCTTCCCCTCTGCCTTTTTTTTTTTTAATATTAATTTCCAAAAAGGATCCGTGCTGTTCGGAGAGCGCGGTGCCCCTAGCCCACCCAGCCCGACTCCCTCTCGCCCCTCTCCTCCTTAGAATCCTGCTGTCTCCGGCTCCCTTGACGCGGCCCGTGCGCCTGCCGCGGCTGCTGCCTGCCTGTGCCGCCCGCCAGCTCGAGCCATGGCTCGGTTACTGTTGCAGACTGTGGCTGCGATTCGGTAGCCGCCGCCGCGGCCGCTGCCCGCCCTCACGCCCGCCGGGCGCAGCGCGCATGCGCGCTGCCAGGCCCCGCCCCCTCGGTCCCAGCGCTCCGTGACGTCCTAGCACAAATGAACCGGGGTGGGGGTTGGGGGGGGTGGCAAAGCTTTCTCGGCGGCGCCGAATGGCCCGGGACCGGTGAGCACGTGCATGGGACGCGCGTAGAGCGCGACCTGGAGCCACCGCCACAGTCCTCGGAGACTTGCTACCTCCTGGTCTTCCTCACTTCCTCCCTCTCTCTTCCCAGCCCGACTTTCTTGCCTGGTTTCTGTCATCGTGGGCCAGCTAGGTTAGAGAAACAGAGTACCTGGGTCTGAATTACTGGTTCCCGGTGCAGGTTATCGGCGGGGAGCTGGGGACTATGCCATGGCCTTCGCCCGTTCGCCCATTGAGCTTTATTACCTGGAGGGTCGCTGGAAGCCAGCTCATTCCCTGTTCTTAAATGATTGTCCTACGGGGACTTGGGACCTATACCCTGAAGGCCTAGGTGGGCGCTGTAGAACTGGCATCCATGATCCTTTCAAGTACTTCTCGAACCACCTTTCCCTATCTGAGCCTGGGGCAGAGGAGCACTCAGGGATCAGTGATCAGTGAGGAGCACTCAGATCGAGGCCACACCTCACTGTCCCAGATCTCAGAGAACTTTCACAATGCTCCCAATTAAGACGCCTCTCTCCCACTTTGGTTAACTCTGCTTGGGGGTTACTGAGGGAGACAGGAGAGAGGGCCTGGTTAGCATGGGGGCAGTGTCTGGGGAGCTAGTCTTTTAAAGTTACTCCATAGCCTTTCTAGAAAAGAACCTAAAGGCTGCTGCTTAGAAGAAGTATCCACGCAGGCAGAGTGCACGCGGTTGAGCGGGTCTCCGCTTGGACCGCAGGGACGCTTTCCTTTTCCTGGCGTCCTTGCAAGAAGCCTCCAGATTTGAAAATCAATTCAGCTTTGGGCATAATTGTGCCCCTGTCACAGTCACGCTCCAATCCGGAATTGAACCCGGGCCTTCAGCCTGGTGGGGACGCGTGGGGAGGCCCCCAGTGTGGGACACACACCCGGCCGCCACATGCCGCGGCTTTCTTTTATTTACAAAAGAAAGAAAGAAAAAAGTCCGTAACAAAAGGCAGAGCCTTGTCTGCTTAGGTGCTTTTATCCCTTGGAGAAAGGACAGATGTGCCCATTGTCAGGCCCTCGGCAGTTACGGCCGGGTCAGCGCCGAGCCTCAGCCTGGGGCTAGCAATGTTCACAATACAGATAGCCTCAGAGCGGGTTTTCAGGGCTCAGCTACTGAACAAAGTGTCTGAGGCCTGCTCTGGGCCAAACACTGAACCTACCGCCTGGGTTTTCTTGTAACCGTTTTCAGAGAGCCTAGGATTGAGTCGTCGTGGTGGGATCTATAAGAAATTTTTGTTGTGGTCAACCCAGGGGCCGAAATCTCTTCAGTTAAGGTACAAACGGGCTCATCTCTTAGCTCAAGTGCCTGCCTCCAGCAGCACAAGACCCGCAGTCAAGGTCAGTGGGTACACTAAGACTTCCTAGAAGACCAGTTCTGCTGGGTCTCAACATCAGAAACGGCTCCATCCTACCAAATAACTCCTGTGGATTCTACTTCAAGTCAGCTTGGTCATGATCATTTTAGGAATCTGAACCTCCTTCCCCCCAGGAAAAGGTCATGGGGGGGAATACATTGGCCAAAACCAAAATAATACTAATTTAATTTTTATCATCTCTTCAGACACATTCAAGCACAAAAATATTTTCTAGAAACCAAATCTACCTTTCCTTCCTTCCTTTTTCCTCCCCCTTCCTCCCTTCTTCCCTTCCTTCCTTCCTTCCTTCCTTCCTTCCTTCCTTCCTTCTTTTTCTTTCTTGAATTCCTTTCCTGTAGCATAGAGTGCTTGTATCTCTTGTAAGACCAAACGATGGGTTGAAACAATCTCAGCTCAACTGTTTCTGCCACCATGTTTTAATCCCATTGAAATGATTGATCTGCTCTTATGGCCATCTCTTCTTGAAAGACTGTTCCTTTAAAAAATAAAAAAGGAATTAGTACACACGTCGTTCTTGGTGTTACCCTTCTCCTTTAATTAAAGATTTGATCTTGGAAGTCTTCCTTCATGTCAACTCCTAGCTGAGCCCCTGGAGCCCATACAAAGGGTGGGGTCAAGGAGCTCAACTCTGCCAAAAGGGACTCTGTCCAAAAAGGACCTTGTCAAAAAGGTGTCTTTTTTCAGCTTTGGTTCCCAAAGGAGAAAAGAAGTTGAGGAAGGATCTTTCTGCCTTGCCCACCTCAGTGTTTGACATTACCCCCACCCCTAACAATCTCAGACTTTGTTTATAAATCTCCCTCTCCCTCCTCCTCCTCCTCCTCCTCCTCCTCCACCACCACCACCACCACCTCCTCCTCCTTCTCTTCCTCCTCCTCCTCCTTCTCTATTTTACAAGCACTGTTTTCCTGTAGTTGGTGAGTCAGAAGTAAGGTGTTTTTCACCTCTCAGAAGCATTTTCTGTATGGTGGGTAGAAAGGACACTTTTTTTCTGGCTTCTGAGGGTACTGGAGTTACCTGCTGTTATCTGGTCTTCTTTTCAGAGTGCCCAGTACAAAACTTGCCCCTCCCTTAGATATCTCTCTCTCTCTCTCTCTCTCTCTCTCTCTCTCTCTCTCTCTCTCTCTCTCGCCTTTCCTGTAGCCTAGAGTACTTGTCTCTCTGATAAGACCAAAGGATGGATTGAAGCAATCCTAAGGGAAGAGAGAATTAGAGTCTATAGAAGTGTTCCTTGAAACTGGACATTAAGTGTGTGAAGCAGAGGGAAGGGCTTATACTTAACTGCTTCAGTTCTAAGCAAATGAAGAACAATTATAGAAGAACAATGTAAAAACTATTAAAATACAAGCTTAAAAAACAGGGCTTAACTAAATGCTTGTTGCAGTATTTTTATGTTGGAACCCAACTTTTGTGCTACTGGGGCCTTGAGCTGGGCAAAAGCTCTATCACAGATTTTTATTTTTGTAAATGTCTTAAGTGCCTGGCAGTAGACAGGTAGGTACATGAAATTTGTCCTCTGCTAGGTAGGCTAGAGTTTGTAGGGCAATGCCATCAGACCTGTAGAAAAGGCCGTTCTATAAATGCTGGCCACATGCAGTTCTCTAAGAATGGCCCGTGTGATTCAGAGTTAATGGCTTGGTTTTCTTTGTGAGCAGTAGAGGTGTAACATATGGACCATTCAAAAGGAATGTTTCTATGCTCTTTGGGACATCAGGTGTTCAGTCCCTATCTGGTGACTGCAGATAGGTTTCAGAAAGTGTTCCTACCCCAGGCTTCAGGTAAGAGACTCTCAGCCACAGCGTTTGAAGCCTAAACCTTCCTGAAACTTGCAGAGTCTAGAATGAAACTCCCAGGGAGGGACATGCAGATGGCATCTGACTACAGCAGAACTCTTGATAGAATGGGGTGAAAGATTTGAGTCTAGATGCTTCCTGCAGGGTTCTACTGTCGTGTTCTCTCAAGTCTTTCCATCTCTGAAGAAATTTATTCAGAAAATTGCTGTTGGCTTAGAATAGACAAGAATTATAGAAAACAGTGGCCTGGTGATTTATTGTTGAAAACAATTAAAACAACACATTAATTCCCAGTTCCATTCGATGTGGATGTGACTTCTCTGGTGGAGGAAGTGGGAACCAATGCTTCTAATACCCCCTTTCAAGCTTTGCCCCTGTATTTAATATCTATATAGTTTTCATTCCTATTTCCTTCCTAAAAATTGTTTTGCGCATGAAAATGGTTTTAAACCTAGCATTTTCACACTATTCCTCCTGTCTCTTATCCCTCAAATCCCCGAAGAAGATGCCTGCGGAAAGGCGGGAGGCTCCCTCCTACCCCACCTAACATGGAGTTCCAGGAATTGCTTGGAGCCGCCTAGGTGGCGGTCTGAAAACTGACCTCTCCGAGAGCATCTCTGGTTATTTCCTGGGCAAGGAAGAAAACCACTTGCTCTCCTGGGACCCTGGGTTAACTAGCAATGGATTCTTTTGGGTTGAAGTTCTTTCTGGGGGGTTACCTACTTTGGCAAAGGTTCTGCGCCTTCAAGTCAAGAACATTGAAGGGTGCCACAGTGGTTGTGGAACTGGGGGAGAGGTATCTGGCTTCTTGGTGACAGGTGGCAGAGTCCAGCGCTGCAGAATGTTAACCTGACACCCAGGAAATTGGCTTTCTTCGGTCTGATCTTCAGTGGGTCTTCTCTTTTAGTCATAATTTCAAAGTAACGGGGAAGGAACCCTGCCCAAGATTGTGAGGGAGCAAATGGGGAGACGATGAATTTTGCAGATTTGGGGTGTCAGTGAACACTCCTGAGTTTTGTAGATTTGCGGTAGCAGTGACCACTCCACTTCCAGTCCTCGTCATTTGGAATTCTATGATGGATTATCATTGGCTTCCTGATGGTAGAGAGTGCCAAAGGTGGGAATTGAAAAGGGAAGGGTGAGAGTGAGGGGCCATGCCTTGGCATCATTCAAAGCGACTCAAAGTAGGGAAAACTCAGAGGGGTGGACGGAAGGCCAAGTGTACTAGCGATGCTCCTTAGTAAGATATTCCTCTCTGATTTGGGAGATAATTAGAAAGCAGAAATCACTAGCCACCACCCATCCAGGAGCCTCAGATGCGCAGGGCTCGGACCAGCCAACCTACCCGAAGTCGGGCCTGAGGCATGCCCTCTCGGCGAATGTCGCTGGCAATGCCGACACAGGCCCAGAACAGCTGCACTTGGGAAGGAGGAAAACTCTTTAAACAAATCATTTTGGTGTCTAATCAATTAGTGTTTGCGCAGTCAAGTACCATAGATTTAACAGAATAATCGTTACTGCCCTTGTCTTTATTTGACCCGCAGACACCTAGAAGATTTAAAAATAAAACGCAAGGTGTTTTGAGCGCCT